AGTTCATGCAAGGGTCACTTTAAATGACCATATCGATCTTAATATTAAGAGTTAAGTGTCCCATGACCTATAAAATTAAAGGTCTATGAGTCTTCTTTCCAATTCCACCTAGTTTGCATTATTTGGAGCGTTGGATAAAAAGTTGTGATTATTTTACCAGAGACACTTCCAACAGAGTTTTCAGAATTTGAGAACTGCAAATATCATTTACGGCTCGTACGTACATTGAAGTACAAACCTTAAATGGAGATCATGGAATCAAACTTCCGAAACCAAAATTTTGGACTGAATCTTACGGATCCAACTACGGGTCGTAAATTCATCTACGGGCTATAAATATGTTATTAACTTAATAGCTTCGAGTGTAATATACCATTAAAGACTTGATGGTTCAAGAATTCTACAAATTCACATTAGATATCACATTTCGTTGATAGTTGTGACATTGTTTTGATGGATTTTGTCTTTGACAAGGGTTAAATCTAAAATAATTTCTCATGGTTATGGTAATTAATAAAATTCGTTAATTGCCAAAAAAATAATAATAGAGTAGTAAGGGTAAATCTAATCTTTCATATTTTTATCAATCAAGGACATGTGTAATTGCACGTAGAAAGATAAAACTATCTCTGATTTCTGAAGTAGACATGTTGTCAAAGTCGCGTCACCTTCTAGCGACTTATACTAAGTAAGTAGTAATGAATGGAAAACATACTAAAAGAGTAAAAGAAGGTATTTAAATCCAAAATCGAATAATTACTTACTATATTTTGTAAATAATAATCATGATAAAATAATATTCGCTCTATTTTAATACATACAATACCTTTTTCCTTTTAATTAGTTCAAAAAAGAGTAATAAGTTTGTTTTTATTTCATAAGTATTTAATAACGCTATCAATATATAAAAAAATGTGGATCTTAAAAGTGTAACTTTTCATTATTATCTATAGAAATAAAAAATAGTAAGAACTAATAGTATACTATTAGAATTTAGAAATAAAAAATACTAACTAGTATTGATAGTCAATGGCATTTCGGCAGTTTATAGGTGTTTGGATGGCAAAAATGAAAGTTTGGTCGACACGTGGTTGAAGGATATTTTGAGGTGAAAATATCTAGAGACCTAAACCTGCCAGCAGAGGAAGTCCACGTCATCAGCCAGCTAACGAAGATATTTTTATGGCTGACCCAATAGTCTATGTGGCAGGAATAAAAACAGCATCTTTGGATTTTTTTCTTCTTTTTCATCTTTATTTGGTTTTCGATGTTTGATATCCGTATTGAAGTCTCACTAATATTTTCTATCAAGGATTGAGATGAGAAAAGCGAGATTGAACTAGTTCGAACATATATCGAGAGATGCAGGAATGAGTGTACCAATAAGAAGGTGTGAATACATTGATTGTAACATATTTTATGAGAGGTACAGATAAGTCGAAGCGGCGATTAGACATGACATGACACATCTTCAAAATACATGACCTAAATAAAAAGGTACGAAGATCGAAAACTATAGTACAAGAATAGTAAATAGTCGAGTATTGTCATATTTCTTTGTGGGAGAAGCGGGGGATCAACTTCCTCTTCTCATCTTCCCTTTATTTAGTAAATATTGATTAGTAATCACATAGAATCTTATTCTTTAATTTTTCACTATTGCGTGTTGCTTCATTTGTTCTCTGTATCTTGATATTTATTGATGTTATTTTCCTTTCAATTCTGCTTTGGTTACGCTTCTTATATCCTACCTTTCTCATATCCACTTTTGGAATTGCACTACTATGTCGATTTATTTTTTTGTTTTTGTTTGGAAAGTTTTATTTGTTGAAATTGAAAAATTACAAAAATAGAATCATATTTTAGAATATCAATTTTATTTCATTTTCAAAAAAAGGAAAATCCTTTAAAATTAGGTTTCAATAAATAAGTTTAGTATTATGATATTTTAATTTTCTTAATCTAGAATTAATTTGTATGTTTATTTTGGTATTTCTCTTTTTGGTAATTAACTTTCTATTTTTAGTATTTTTTTTTATATTCTCTTTAAAAAAAGGCAAAGACGAAAAAGATAGACTAGAACCAATTGTAATTCAACACCTAAAAGATTCCTATTTATTTTTCTAAAATAATATAACTCACATTTTTCACTCATTATCATTATGAGGGACCGTTCTATATTTCTTTTGGACCAAGGCACAATTCATACACATTGTTTTCAATCTCCTTTTCTTGTGCATATGCACATGGGATGTTCCCACTCACATCCATATCTCTTTAGATACACAAAGACAATATAATAACCACAACAACGTATTTTGTGTAATTTCATTTATCAGGTCAGAAAAAATAGAATAAATGAAGATCTTAATTATATTATTTTTGAAAGATGGTCAATGAAGTCATGTGTTGAAAATTATGAAATTTTAAATTCAAATTCTAGATATAGCTAACTAAGAACAGTGATGATTTCTTCTTATCAGTTCAAGCTTTGATAACAAAGTTACTTTATGCATGGATGGTGAGGAATAATAGATATAGTATATCATAGAATTAGTTGGAGCGCACACAAACGGACTTAGACGCTATAATTATAAAAAAAAATCAATTAATAATTTTATGATCTTGATTTGCTAAAGTGAACAATTAAAAAAGAAATATTCTTTAACTAAAGTATAGCATCATAACTAAAATATGATATCCACAATTTAAATATATAGTCAAATTAGAAAATGTAGTAATTTGTTTTGAGACATACTAAAAAGCGAAATATGTTATTCTATAAATTAAGATCGAAAGAGCAAAGCAAAAATAAAGAGAAGATTACGTTTCATGTATTTGGAATTTTTCAACGTCTCTTTAATTATATTATTTTGAACTAAAGAAACAATAAAATTGACTAAAAGTCAACATATTCAAAATGATAAAACGTTATTGTAAACAAAAGAAGCAAGTAAAACACAAAAAAATGTTAAAAGTATAGATAAGAGTCAAGACGAGAAAAACAAAGAAACACTAAGGGTGTGTTTGGTATGGACGAAAAGGTTTTGTTGAGGAGAACTGATTTATAGAATCAATTTCAATAAAAAGAGAAGTTATTCAACTATATACACATTCCAAAGGTAATGCATTCTTTCTGATGAATGTAAATAGATGTCAGATTCACTAAACTACGTCTCAGTCCTAAACAAGTCGAAACATGACTATTTCACTAGCTTACTTCCCTGAATTTGAAAAAAAGGAAATCGAAATACAGATAAAGGAAAGATCATGAACTTCTGCAAATTTGCTTGAGTATATATACCTTATGGTACTCTCCATCAGCTAGTCGTTACGTCTGCAATGCACAAACCAATTGTAATTAGCACCTTTTATAGTATAAATAAATGAAAAAATGAACACATATATTAGGAAGAACGAAAATGATATTTTATGCTTTTCTAGATGAAAATGTGTAACTTCTTTATTAATGTTTACTCACGTATATAGTTCACACGAATAATGAGGTCATCATTTCCAAAGCTTTGTTGCTCGTCTTGTATTTTCTCTGCTGAAACAAGAACAGAACGCATACATTTGTGTAGTTCAATCAGCTGTAGTGTTTGAATCTCTGAAAAGTCGAAAGGAATTTGCTCCAATGGATAGCAATCTGTTAGGACTAAATGCTCAAGGCTTGGAAAATGATAACTTGTTGCTTCCCATTGCTTCAGATTCAAGCTCTCAAGAAGTAAAAACTTTAGCTTCAAGAATCCATCTTCGTCTTCATCGCTTAGTTTCCAAGTTAGTCCGTGAAAGGCGTGATCTTTAAGTTTGAGGACCTCAAGATTAGGTAACTTACTGAGAATGTTCATGTCTTCCCATTGTAGGTACGTTCTGCACAATGTTAACTTCTTAAGGTTTGGTGGGAAATTGTCACAATGTGGAATGTGTAGCCACGAAGAGATAGCCCAATCTTCGGTCATCTGCCTATAAGTTAGCAGATAATTCTGTACGAACTCAACTTTGAGCTTCTCAAGCTGAGTTAAATGTACAAGATTATCTAGACAATAACACTTCTGAATAGTGTCTGATTCACCAACAATTAAAATTCCCAACTTCTTCAAATTTGTAATTCGTAGAAACACCTCATCGTTACAAGATGAGGGCACCAATCCGGTTAACGTTTGTAAGTGATTCTCCCTCTCAGTAATTATTGATGTAGGTGGGGGTATGGAAAGACTAAACTTTTTTGTATGGATATGTCTTAGTCGAGGCATATTCACAACTTCCCATGGTAGGGAGTGGGTTCTCATACGTAAACCAGATGGACATAAATCATGAATAACTAAGTTCTGTATATTCCGTAGCTTGCATAGTGTTTGCACAAGACCATCGAAGAATGGACAAGCAAGATACCTCAAATGAACAAGTTCTGATATGGACGGACTACAGTACAAAAAAGATGTAAAGCAAACATCTAATATCCTAAGTAATCTAAAGCTTGACTGTCGGAGGGAACAAACAAAGTATGGATATTTGAAGAAAACAGAACGTGTGAGTGGCGTAAGTTTAGAAAGTCCACTGTCTGTATACTTATGGAAATCAGCTACACGACGTAGACAACTAAAGTTTTCTAGAAGATGATCGTGGTCATACCTTGTTTTGAAGTGTATAAAATTCTCATATATGGCTTCTCTCAAACACATATCTCGAACGAGATCATGCATCTTACAAGTCTTGATTTTTCCTAGGGAAGTATGTTTCCCCACCAAAACCAAACTTCTATCAACTAACTCCCTCAAATTTTCCTCTGCCACATCTTCTAGATTTTTATGATTGACTTTCTTGACGAAGCCCTCAGAAATCCATAACTTTAATAACTTCCAGACCGGGACCTCACGAGTTTCTGCAAAAACTCCCATATAAAGGAAGCATGTTTTCAAGTACTGAGGCAAGTGGTTGTAGCTCAAAGAAAGTATGTTCAAGCAATCCATAGTGTCACTTGCCATAAGCGATCCTACCTTTTCTGCAACATTCTCCCAAGAACTTGTTTCCTTGCTAATCTTGGAAAGTAGTCCACCAATTGCAACAACTGCAAGTGGCAACCCTTGACACTGACGGACAATGCATCTCCCAATTTTCTCCAATTCCGGAGAGTAACTACCGTTCCCAAAGACCTTATCGCGTAAAAGAGTCCAGCTTTCCTCCACACTCAGAAAGCGCATCTCGTGAAGGGAATTGCCAGAGCAAGCACAAGATGCAACATCTACAAGCCTTGTGGTCAACACGATTCGACTTCCATTATGATCATCAGGAAATGATCTCCTCACATGCTGCCAAGCCTCGATAGACCACATATCATCTAGGACAATAAGATACTTCCTCCCTTTTAAACTTCGATAAACTCTTTCAGCCAATTGCTCATTAGTACTGTTTCTTTCTACTTCATCCTTGACCACGCCAATGGAGCGAAGAATACCAAGAAAAATTTCTCTAGTGTCAAATTCTTGAGATACATTTGTCCATGCTCGGACATAAAAATGGTATGCAATCAAGGAATCATCATAAACTCTTCTAGCCAGTGTGGTCTTGCCAATACCACCCATCCCTATAATAGGGACAACTTCGAGTCTTGATGATTGCACGATGAGTCTATCTTTTATCCTTAGCAAGTCTTCATCTAGTCCAATGATTACATCTTTTTGATCCAAAGGGATCTGAGATGAAGTATCTCTTGAATGAGAGATTTTGCTGTTGAACTTGTTGACCTTTATCTTTTTCATAACCTCTTTTTGTATCAAACCAATTTCCTCAATTGCATATTCCAAGTTTTGATGAAAGATCGTATAAGCCTTTCTTCGTACTCGATTGCTTTGTACTAAAACATAGCTATCATATACATGTGAGTCAATAGTATCTTCCACTCCATTAGCAGCTTCTTGGATCATCCTTTCGAGATGCTTCATCTTTACATATTCATGGAAATTATTAGTAAAATCCTCAAGAAAGGTTTTAAGGAAGGTGTACTTCTCACTGAGGACTTCAGTTTTCTCTTTTTTGTAAAGAATATGAGTTTGAGATAGACTATCCAGGGTATGCAAAAGTGAAGTCACAGCAGCATACGCCGCCATATCGCTGTTTGTTAGTTTCTTGCTAAACAGGACAGTAGGAGGAAGTTCTGAGTTGTTGATTTAGATTCTCAAAACCAATTCTTTATGAAAGAAGAAGGCAGTGTAATGGATGGGAATGCAAGACTTTTAAGGGTTTGTAAAGAGAAGTCTTCTCTTTGTGTCTGTTTCTCTCCAAGAGAATAGTGGTGCGGTTGGTGGAAGGGTAGAAGTGAGAATATCATTTCTCAGTCTGACTATGTTGTGTTGTTTATTCCAACTTGAATCTTAAAAAAAAACATGTTTGTACCCTTCATTTCTTTCTAAAGAAAATGCATATAGAATTGACTTTAATTTGGGCATCTTGATCAAGAACTCAGAACTCCTTACTCTTCCATGTTTTAGTAAGAAACAAACAGCGATATGGCGGCGTATGCTGCTGTGACTTCTCTTTTGCAAAGCCTAGATCAACTCTCGCAAACTGATCATTGGGTTCTTTACAAAAAAGAGCAAACTAAAATCCTCTGCGAGAAGTTGACCTTCTTTCAAACATTTCTTGAGGATTTTACAAATGTTTTCCATGAAGATAAAAAGATGAAACATCTCGAAAGAATGGAGGGCTGAGATGGTTCCACTTGGGTACATCACTGATTCTGAAGTTGCAGATGAATCAGTAGCTGAAAAAGTTTATTTTCAGGGATTGTCCAAGAATGGGTATCCTGTTGTGATAATCAAACTTAGCAAACATTTTCCTTCCAAGGATCAAGTACAATTCAAGAGTAAAATTTTTTCCCCTTAAGAGTAACAGTTCTTTTTTGATGTTGTTGTTCTTGGCTAGTCCATGACTGTTTATCTTGTTTGTGTTTTTTTTATGAGAAATATTCTGGTTGGTTCTCTCAATGATGCCTTTTTATCTTTTATTGTCCTGCTAATGGGCCATTGGTCAAGTTTAATTAGACAATCTCGTGTGGTAAGGTCTGCGTACACTCTAACCTCCCTAGGCCCCACTTTGTGGGATTTCACTGGGTATGTTGATGTTGTAGTCTCTCCGTTTCTGTAGGATGCTAATGATTACTCTTAACTATAGTGCTAGTATTGACACATTCGCCTCTTATGCAGAATATGTGGTTCATCTACTAGACAAAACAATTGCAAGGTATCATTTTCATTCAGCCGTGTTTCTCTTTGACCATTTGGAAAGTTGCACTTGAGGGATAACTTGTAATGTTTTTAACATTTACTTTGTTTTGTGTAAATTGAAGTGTCTGTATTGAGTATGGGGTCGTATGGTAGGATGTATTAGAAAAAATAATGCATGCATTAGCTTTGTGTTTTACTAATATCTTGTCACTCTTTTTGGTATTATGCTATGTATAACTAATATCATTTACAACTGCTTGAGACTTGTGAAGGGAACTTGCACTAGAAAGTTTAATATCATTTACAACTGCTTGTGACTTGTGATTTGAGAAAAATGAATGCATATGTTTGACTAGAATATTGTATGAAGAGTCTTGTTATGAGTGTGTTTTTTTGGGATTGTAGATCCTTTTACGTGCTGCTTTTCTATTGTGTTGTTTTAGTCACTCTGCTATCTGTCTTTTCAATGAGGCGCGAAGTAATGAAGGAAACTTTCTTCTCGTTCTTGTCCAAAATATGGTGATAACAATAAACTGCTAAGTGAGGTAAACGCTATCTAATGAAGAGGATTGTTTTAACAAGAAAGTACAGAGGAATTACGTCTCTCCTGTTATCTGATGCAATAGATTTGACACTATAGTATAATGTAACCTGGAAAATTTAGCTTTTGGAGGTTTTGTAACTTCGACTCACGTGTTCCTCAGCTATTCGTCTATCGAAATATGTTTTTTATACTGAGAATCATGGTTCTGTTTCTAACTTGGACCTCCTTTGTGCTCGTTTCAGTTCGTTCAATGGTAGAGAAATAGGAAACGAGAAACTTATTGGAATTCTTGATCTCCAGAATATTACCTATAGCAATGTTGATGTTCGTGGAATGATCACTGGTTTTCAGTTTTTACAGGTTATCCCTTTGTCTTTCTATAGTGCACAAACCATTAGTATAGAGACGCACATAACCAGTGTTATGTAAAGATACATAATTCTTCTACCATGGACAGCGTTATACGTCTCTTGTCAGCTATAAGACAGTTCAAAGAGTCAAGATTAACGGCTTAGTAGAAGAACTCACTATAATATTGCTCAAACTCTTCAAACATATTGTTAGGTGTGTGTCTGATCCTCCTAGACCTATGCTTTTGTTGGAGGATCCGACATGGTTGCCGCAACATTTTTGGAGGTCTGAGCAACATAGCTATGAGGTGTCATTGATGTAACATATAGTTTCGATAAGCTCCACTAACTTAAATTTTGATCAAAATTGTTGCTCTTCTTAAGTTCTTGAATCTTGGTTTAGACAAATGAGGAGCAATCTATGTTGCTCGAACTCTCTAAAAATGATGTGGCACCCGTGGAAAACCCTCCACAAATGCACTCCTTTTGGAGGATCTGACGCTGGCGCACACCCAATGACATTGGAATGCTAATATATATAGTTCAGTTCTTTATATTGAATCTGCCAGCTACATTTCACACAGTTTCTTTCTACAGGCATACTACCCTGAGCGCTTAGCTACTTGTTACCTTTTACACATGCCACAATTCTTCGTCACCATATGGCGATTTGTTTGTCGCTTCCTTGATAAAGCAACTCAACAGAAGGTACGTCAGTGTGTATAATTGCCCATCGCGTGATGTTATGTTTAACATAATGCACATGTAAATGTATAGTCTTCGTTTCTAATATCAAATTACTACACAGATGAGGATTGTCATGAGTGAAGAACAGAAGCAAGAGTTTATCCGAGAGGTCGGTGAAGACGTCGTACCAGAGGAGTATGGAGGGCGCGCTAAACTTGTACTTTTGCAGGATGTTGTTGTGAACTACTAACAGAAACACAAAGTAGAGGAATAATAGAAATGTGAAATAAGATGAAAAAGAATAGCTTCATAAACATACTACTCCACTATTTATGTTACTAAAAGTTTTACATCTTGTTTACTTCTAGTCAAACCAGATGGGCTGTGGCCCATACTGAGCACGGGCTCAACATGTTTAATTCTTATTAAAAAAAAAAAAACTACTTAATTATACAAACATAAAAACATAAATCTTACTACTAGTTTAGAAGTTAATTATTAATCTTCTGGTGCGTGGATATCTAATTATGCTTGAAGACGTAACTGAATTCACACTTAAAAGGAGGACCAAAAGCTTGTGACTAGATAATAAACAAAAATTTGCGTGCTAAAACTTCTTTACGTTGGTCATTAATATTTTTAAATAGATAAATTGGCTTTTCAGGTAAGTGATTAATGAGGTTTGACTTATTTAAGCCTATATCATAATCACAATTTGAAATTTCAAATTACACTTTTTAGATAATTTGAAATTTGAAATAGCAATTTCGAATCATATATCCTAGAATTAATTTGAAATCATGGCATGTCCAAATGCCTACTGATAGTAATAGTATATAATATTGTTCACTCTTAAAAATTGGACATAATATTCGATAATGTCTTTGCTACATATAGAGAAGGAGATTTTTCATATTTTCATTAGCTAAACGGAAATCCATACCACAGCAATAATAAAAACTGTCTTAATCTGAAATAAATTAGATTATTTTTATATTAGTCAAATAAAAAGGGATAGTTAGATCAACTTTATTGTATGTGTCTGAGTGTTGGCTAATCAAGAAATCTTATCTTTAGAAAATGCATGTTGCGGATGTTGAGATGAATGTGTGATCATACTAGGAGTATTATAAATGAGAATATCCGAGATAAGGTGATTGTGACTCTTTGGTCGATAAGATGAGCAATTAGACTAAGATGGTTTAGACATTTGAAAAGGAGAAGCATAAACGCACCAATGAGAAAGTGTGAGAAGTTGGTTATAGAGCGTACGAAGCGAGACAGAGGTAGGCCAAAAAAGTATTGGAGAGAGAGGTGATAAGACATGATATGAGGTGGCTTCAGGTTACTAAAAATATGACCCTAGATAGGAGGGTGAGGAGGACTCATATTTATGGTAAAAGGGTAGTAGGTTGTGTTACTAAAGGTGACCAGTGTTAGCAATAATACTAGTTATATTATTATAGTTCTTGCTTTTTATTTTTATCATTGTTTATTATTATTTTTTAATACTAATCTACCTTAATATGTTGTTTATAGCATTTCGATTATCACATGATTTTATTGTTGTTCTAGTTACTTTTGCACTGTTTCATTTTTCGATCTCTCTTCATTGTCTTCTTCTCCTTTATATCAAGATTGTTGCACTTGAGACGACAGTCTTTTAGAAACAGTTTCTCTACTTTCATGAAGCAATGGTAAGGTCTGCATAGATTTTAACCTTTTGAGATCTCATTTATAAGATTTTACTGAGCATGTTGTGGATAATTCTAAATAAAATAAATAAAAGTGAAAAATAAATTTTATAATAATAATAATAATATTAAAGAAATAATAAAGGAAAATTCAAGAACAAACAAATCAAATATCATATCCACAGACACCACTCTTCTTCTCTTCTATTCCACGAGCTTGGTCCCTTTCGACATGTTTGGGCCAAACAGTTTGGCCATTAATTGCCATTAATGAGACACTCTTTTAAGTTTTCTACTAACTTTTTCTCTTTGTGTATTTCTTTCCCAAAAAACCTTTCTTTTGAAGTTTGGGAGGGGGGAGAAGAAAACTGAAAATGGACAGAAATCAAGAAATTGCATTGGCTAAAATGAGGAAATCAGTTGAAAAGCTTGGATCTTCCACTGAAGTAAGAAAAATATGACCCCATTTTCCCTTTTTAGTAGAAAGTTCAAATCTTTGTACTGATGATAATCAGTTCTTTTTTAAAAATAAATGATCCCCTGTTTCCTCTTGTAGTGTAAAGTTCAAATATTTGTAGTGATAATCAGTTTTTTTTTTTTTTCTAAATGACACCCTCTTCCTATTTTAGTGTAAAGTTCAAATCTTTGCACTGATAATCAGTTTTTTTTTTTTAAAAAAAAATGACACCCTTTTCCTCTTTTAGTGTAAAGTTCAAATCTTTGTACTGATAATCAGTTTTTTTGTTGTTGTTGTTGTAGAGTTATGGAGAGAAGACATTGATGAGGTTCTTGATTGCAAGATCAATGAACCCAGAGAAAGCTGCAAAGATGTTTTTTCAGTGGAAAAAATGGAGGGCTGAAATGGTTCCAACTGGGTTCATCACTGATTCTGAAGTGGCAGATGAATCAGCAGCTGAAAAAGTTTATTTACAGGGATTGTCCAAGAATGGGTATCCTGTTGCTATAATCAAACTTAACAAGCATTTTGCTTCCAAGGATCAAGTTCAATTCAAGAGTAAATTCTTTTCCCTTATGAGTAAAGCTCCTTTTCATTTCTTTGTTTATAGTTAATATTGCATTCTGATGTTCTTGGTTAGTCCATGATTGTTCATCTTGTTTGTGTTTTTTTTTTATGAAATATATTCTGGTTGGTTCTTTCAATGATGGCTTTTTATCTTTTATTGTGGACAAGTCCTTAATTTAGACAATCTTGTAGTCCCTCTATTTCAATTTGTTAGTTTGGTTTTGATTTGAGACGGCGTTAAAGAAAGTAAAGAAGTGTTGTGGTCAATATACCAAAATATTTTTTAATCTTGTGATTTTAAAGATGTCACGTGCAAAGTTAAAACTAAAAAGTTGCCAAAAAAGTGAAGAGACATTATTTTTGAACGAACTAAAATGGACAGTAAGACAACAAATTGAGACAGACTTGGAGTTCTTGTGAAATTTGAACTCCGTGATAGTAGTTATTTTTCAATGTTATGACCGAAAAGTGGCCAGTGAACACTATTTCAAACTTGATACCTGATACCTCTCAAAGGGAATATCCAGTAGGAAAATGACATGCACCCTATCTCTGGTAATATAATGAATGATTATTTTTTTGGGGGGGTGACTAGTAAGGGGATTTCTTGAATAAATCCTTCTCAATTCTTCTTCTTTCTGTAGGATGCTAATGATTACTCTTAATGATTAAGTTAGTATTGACACATTCACCTCTTATGCAGAATTCGTGGTCCATGCACTCGACAAAACAATTGCAAGGTATCGTTTTCATTCAACCATGTTGCTCTTTGACCAGTTGGGAAATTGCATATTAAGTATAACTTGCAAAGTTTTTGACATTTACTTTGTTTTATGTAAATCAAAGTGTCTGTTTTGAGTAAGGGGTCATATGGTAGGATGCGTTAGAAAAAATAGCTTTGTGTATTACTAATACATCTTATTCAACACTATTCTTGTACATCCTACCAAACGACCACTAAGTGATTGAGAGAAAGAAGGAAATGAGAGGTTTGTGCTGATATTTCTACACAGAGGGTGGGGTGGGGCCGTGGGGGGAGGGGGTGAAGGGAACTTGCACTAGAAAGTTTATGTATTTAACATCATTTACAATTGCTTGTGATTTGAGAGAAATCAAAGCATATGTTTGACTAGAATATTGTATGAACAGTCTTGTTATGATGGTGCTTTGTTGGGCATCATTTTCCCTACTATTCTATACCTCTCAGGAGCTTGTGTGTGTGCTTAACTTCTTATTTGGGATTGTAGATCCTTTTAGGTGCTACTTTTCTGTTTTGTTGTTCTTGTCGCTCTGATATCTGTCTTTTCAATGAGGCTCGAAGTAATGACGGAAACTTTCATCTTGTTCTTGTCCAAGAAATGATGATAACAATGAACTGCTTAGAGAGGTAAATGCTACTAATGAAGAGGATTGCCTTAACAAGAAAGTGTAGAGGAATTACATCTCTCCTGTTATCTGATGCAATAGATTTGACACTACAGTATAATGTAACCTGGAAAATTTATCTTTTGGAGGTTTTGTGACTTCGACTCGCGGGTTCCTCAGCTATTCCTCTCTCGAAATTATGTTTTATGTACTGAGAATCATGGTTCTGTGTCTAACTTGGACCTCTTTTCTGCTTGTTTCAGTTCATTCAATGGTAGAGAAATAGGAAATGAGAAACTTATTGCAATTCTTGATCTCCAGAATATTACCTATAGCAATGTTGATACTCGTGGATTGATCACTGGTTTTCAATTTTTACAGGTAACCCCTTTGCCTTTCTAAAGTACGCAAACCCATTACTATAGAGACGCACATTACCAGTGTTATGAAAAGATACACTATAAGACAGTTCAAAGAGTCAAGATTAGAGGTTTAGTAGAAGAACTCACTAGACAGGCTTTGGTTTGCTTGCACTATGAGACAATGTTGCTCAGTCTCTTCAAACATACTGTCGTGTGTGTGTCTGATCCTCCAAAAGCTATGCTTTTTTTGGAGAATCCGACATGGTTGCAGTAACATTTTTGGAGGGTCTGAACAACATAGTTATGAGGTGCCATTGATGTAACGTAATAGTTTGGATATGCTCTACTAACTTAAAATCTCCGAAAATTTTGGTCAAAATTGTTTCTCCTCTTAAGCTCTTGAATCTTGATTTAGACAAATTAGGACCAATCTCTGTTGCTTGGACTTTCTAAAAATGATGTGGCACCCGTGGCAGACCCTCCAAAAATGCGCTACTTTTTGGAGGATCTGATGCTGATGCGCAGCTAAATGATGACATTTTTGAGAAGTCCGGGCCACATAGGGAGCGATAAACTAAACAAATTGCTGAAGGCCACATTGGAATGCTGATATAATGTTCATTTCTCTATATTTCTGTGTGTTATTTTGATGCTGCTAAGCTACATTTCACACAATTTCTTTCTACAGGCATACTACCCTGAGCGCTTAGCTACTTGTTACATTTTACACATGCCACAATTCTTTGTCACTGTATGGCGATTTATATGTCGCTTCCTTGATAAAGCAACTCAACGGAAGGTACGTCAGTGTGCATAATTTTCCATCCGATGATGCAACGTTTAACAAAAATGTGTGTTTAAATGTATAGTCTTTGTTTCTAATATCAAATCACTACACAGATGAGGATTGTCATGAGTGAAGAACAGAAGCAAGAGTTCATCCGAGAGGTCGGTGAAGACGTCTTACCGGAGGAGTATGGAGGGCGCGCTAAACTTGTACTTTTGCAGGATGTTGCTGTGAACTACTAACACTAACATAATGTAGAGGAATAATAGAAATGTGAAATAAGATGAAAAAGAATTGCTCCATAGACATACTACTCCACTATTTATGTTACTAAAATTTTTACATCTTGTTTACTTCTAGTCATACCAGATGGGCTGTGGCCCGATCTGAGCACAGGCCCAACATGTTTAATTCTTATTTATTAATCCACTCTATATTTTCAAATAATTATTTACTATCCAACTATTCAATAATTTTGTACTAAATTTCAAGTATGTATTATCTACTATGTATTTGAGCTGTACCAATGATATATCTAGTGTGTATTTGAGAATGTAATTGAATTGTGCATGTTATAGCTAATATGTAATATAGATTCATGTATCTATTGATTCTGCTCTGTATCTAATCATGTACTTGATTGATATTTGTGGTATATCTGAATATCTATTTATTGTATATTTGTGTATCTAAACTCATATATCTTGTCAAGTTTTAAAATGTCTCAATAACATAATAATAATTACCATTGTGAATCCTAGATATAATGAAATTCCAATTAACAGAATGATATACACAATTAGAAATTGAAGAAGAACTATATGGAAGAAGTCGTGAAAACTACCTAATGCTCGAAATAATGGAATTTTTAAAAAAATATTTTAGGATATGCAGAATCATACGACGCGTAATTTACTCTAGATTAGTGCGTTTCAATTACATTTTAATTTTAGATACGCAAAAATAAATATATTTTATTTACCTATATCTGAGATACATGTATTCGAATACGCAAGACACATATCTGGCAAGCAAAATATTGTAAGAATTGTAATTTCGAAAACTTAAGTGCAGACATGTAATTATATTTTCTTTTAAATATTGAGACAAACTAAGAACATAGAACTCACATATGATTACCAAAAAGTTACGTCTTAAGTCTCAAATAAATTGAATTATTTTCACATCTATATTTAAGTTAATTTCACAAAATCATCTACTAAATAATTAATAATAGTAATAATAACAATAATATTTAAAAAAAATAGTAAAGGGGACTTCATTAACAAACAAATCCAACTGTCATAAGCCACACCACTTCTTCTCTTCTACTCCATTACTTCATTGGTCTTCTCCCTCATGTTTCAGCCATTAATATCTACTTCTTTGATTTGACACAATCTTTTGAGTTTTCTAACTTTTTCTCTTTGTGACTTTCTTCCCCCCAAACATTGAACTTTATATTACAGGAAAAAAAATCAGTGTGAAATTTTTCTTCTCCTCCCCCAAAACCATTCCTTTGTAAGTTGGGAAACAAACCTGAAAAATGGACAGAAATCAAGAAATTGCATTGACCCAAATGAGGAAAACAGTTGAAAAGCTTGGATCTTCCACTGAAGTAAGAAAAAAATGTCCCCCTTTTTCCTCTTTTAGTGTAAAGTTCAAATCTTTGTACTGATAATCAGCTCTTTCTTAAAAAAAATAAAATGAACCCCTTCATCCTCTTTTAGTGTAAAGTTCAAAACTTTGTACTGATTGCTCTATTTTTTGGAAAAAAAATGACCCCTTTTTCTCTTTTAGTATAAAGTTAAAATTTTTGTACTGATAGTTCTTGTTTTGAAAATAAAATGACCCCCTTTTTGCTATATTAGTGTAAAGTTTAAATCTTTGTACTGATAATGAGTTTTTTTTGTTTGTTGTTGTTGTTGTTGTAGAGTTATGGAGAGAAGACATTAATGAGGTTCTTGATTGCAAGATCGATGGACCCAGAGAAAGCTGCAAAGATGTTTTGTCAGTGGAAAAAATGGAGGGCTGAGATGGTTCCACTTGGTTATATCTCTGATTCTGAAGTTGCAGATGAATTAGCAGCTGAAAAACTTTATTTGCAGGGATTGTCCAAGAGTGGACACCCTATTGTGATAGTCAAAGTTAACAAGCATTTTCCTTCCAAAGATCAAGTTCAATTCAAGAGTAATTTCTTTTCCATTAGAGTAAAGTTTATTTATGTTTTTATATACTGTTGACCTTTGAGAGGTTAGAAGTGTTGATTTTTTAAAAATTGAGATGTTTGGCCAAAGTTTCTTGGAGAAAATAAGTGTTTTTGCGAAGTAGCAGAAGCTGAAAACATTTTTGAAAAAGACACTTTTCAAAATAAGTTATTTTAGAAGTTGGCCAAACAGGCTATTCTCATATAATGCATATTGATTTTCTTGTTTCTTGGTTAGGCCATGAATGTTTATCTTGTTTGTGTTTTTCTGATAAGAGATATTCTAGTTGGCTGCCTCAATTATGCCTTTTTTTATCTTTTATTGCCCTGCTAATGGGCCATTGGACAACAAGTCCTTTATTTAAACAATCTTGTAGTTAGTTTTTACTTTCTTGGACTTGACTTCTTGTCGTTGGATGATCACTTGATACAGGGATTTTTTTATAAATAGCTACTGTCATGGAGTTACCGTGAAATTTGAAACTCCGTGACCATAGTTAGTTTTCAAAGATATGACCGAAAAGTGGCCAGTGGACGCTATCTCTAACCTTGATATCTGATAAATTCCCAAAGGGAATCTCCAGAGGAAAATAATTTTCTTTCAAGCACTTAAAAATCACTAATCCTTGTGACCAATAATATATTATTGAATGGGATATTATGTGTAAGGGTCATTGATTATGTTTATTTAATTATAAGTTGCTTTGTGTGGAGAAGCTGTGAGACACACACTGCTAACTAATATCTAACCAGCTGCAATGTTTAAAATAAAACAAAACTGATCCATAATATTGGATATCTGCAAGAAGAGGTGGCAAATGGCCGGAATGAGTCAAACTTGAGTAGATGAATGCGCGTCAAATTAATAAACGGGTCATGATCCAATCAGGATAAGTTTGCTTGGATCAAGGTGGTCAAATAATGGGTCGTAGGCGTTACATACTCTACGTAAACTTCCTACTTGGTGAAATGAAAGTAAAAAAGGATATGCGAAACTCTTAAATTCCAAGAAATTCATATTTTTTATTGAGGAACATTGGCTAATGCATTTAAATGGACAAACAGCAACGATCTAAAGTGTTTATCAAGTTGCAATCTGGTAAATGATTCATTTACCGTTTCTCGTTCTCTCACATGCACCCTAGCTATCTCTGGTAATATAAATGATTTTTTTTGTGGTGACTGGTAAGGAGATTTCTTGAATAAATGCTTCTCAATTCTTCTTTCTTCCTTATGTATGATGCGAATGATTTCTCTTAACGATAAAGTTAGTATTGACACATTCACTTCTTATGCAGAATTCGTCATTCATCTACTGGACAAAACAATCGCAAGGTAATATTTTCATTCAACCATGTTGTTCTTTGACTATTTCGAAAGTTGCACATGAGGGATAACTTCTAAACTTTTTAACATTTACTTTGCTTTACGCGAATCAAAGTGTCTGTTTTGAGTAAGTGATTGATAGAAAGAAGGAAATGAGAGGGGTTTATGCTGATATTTGATGCAATAGATTTGACACTATTGTATAATGTAACATGGAAATTTTATATTTGGGAGGTTTTGTGATTTCGACTCGAGGGTTCATCAGCTATTCCTCTCTCGAAATATGTTTTTTCTACTGAGAATCATAGTTCTGTTTCTAACTTGGACCTCTTTTGTGCTTGTTTCAGTTCATTCAATGGTAGAGAAATAGGAAATGAGAAACTTATTGCAATTCTTGATCTCCAGAATATTACCTATAGCAATGTTGATACTCGTGGATTGATAACCGGTTTTCAGTTTTTACAGGTAACCCATTTGCCGTTCTATAGTACGCAAACCATTAGTACTGAGACACACATAGCCAGTGTTATGAAAAGATACATAAATCTTGTACCATGGACAACGTTATACGTCTCTTGTCAGCTATAAGACAAGAGTTGAGATTAACGGCTTAGTAGAACAACTCACTAGACTCTTTACATAGGCCGTAGCTGGTATTGAACTCTCACATTTGAGCTATAGTTAAGGCTTTGGTTTGCTTTCACTATGAGACAATGTTGCTCGGACTCTTCAAACATATTGCCGGGTGTGTGTCTGATCCTCCAAGAGCTATACATTTTTGGAGGGTCTGAGCAACATAGCCGTGAGGTGTTCCCTTGATGTAATGAAATAATTTGAATATGCTCCTTAAAACCTCCGAATATTTTGGTCAAAATTGTTTCTCCTCTTAAGCTCTTGTATCTTGATTTTGACAAATTAGGACCAATCTATGTTGCTCAGACTTTCTAAAAATGTTGTCGTATCCGCGGCAGACCCTCCAAAAATGCACTACTTTTGGAGTATCTGAAGCGCACCCAATGACATTTTTGAAGAGTCCAAGCAATATACTGAACAAATTGCTGAAGGCCACACAGGAATGCTGATATATTCTTTATATATATTAATGCTGCTAGCTTCATCTCATCTCACACAGTTTCTTTCTACAGGCATACTACCCTGAGCGCTTAGCGGCTTGTTACCTTTTACACATGCCACAATTCTTTGTCACCATATGGCGATTTATTTGTCGCTTCCTTGAAAAGGCAACTCAAGAGAAGGTACGTCCGTGTGCATAATGTTCCATCTAACGATGTTACAGTTTACAAAATGCACGTTCAAACGAATAGTCTTCAACACTAGATCAACTTCTGCAAACTTGATCATTTTCTAAAACTCTCCCAACTGTTCTAATATCAAAACACTATACAGATGAGGATTGTTACAAGTGAAGAAGAAAAGGAAAAGTTCATCCGAGAGGTCGGTGAAGATGCCTTACCGGAGGAGTATGGAGGGCGCGCTAAACTTGTACTTATGCAGGATGTTGCTGTGAACTACTAACACAAAGTAGAGGAATCTATAAATGTGAAACAAGATGAAAAAGAATAGCTTCATAGAGATACTATTTATGTTACTAAAAAAGCTTTACTTATTTAACCTTAAGTCATATACTAGATGGGCTATGGCCCGTACTGGGCACGGGTCCAACATATTTAATTTTGGAAAAATTATATAATTAGACATACTTCACTACTATATATATAACTATTATCTATAGTTTCAAAATATTACCTATTTTATCACTAATTAAGAGTTTCTACTATATATTGAAGAAAATGTACTAGATACATGTATTTTTTCTACCAGATACACAAAAATAAGGAGAGAGGCGAGTGAGATTCGTTTGTATCTCAGATACATGTGATTCACACTAGATATATGTATTTGTATGTATCTAGAGTGATTTATTTGGGATACTAGATAAATGGGAGAGTGGTGAGCGAGATGGAAGAAAGGCGAGGGAGATTTGCTATGTATCCCAGATTTATGCGAATCTATTTGGATACAATGTATCTAGAATAAATTATACTTAATTTCGACCCCATGTATTCGAGATAAACGTATTTTGACGTATTTGGAGGCGCCAAAATTTGACAAGAGACGTAATATTGCGAGCGAGAGTGCATCTAAGTAATTAGCTCCTAAATTAGTGGGATATATGTAAGTTCCCATTTAATTTTCATGTAAAAAATTTATGTGCTTCTGAGATAATACTCATAATAATACAATTAAAATAGTTTAACCTCAAAAAAGTGCCTTAGTATTTTGCATCATGATTTCAAATTTTAAATTATCTAGAAATGATGATTTCAATTTTTTAAAAATATAAAATCTGATTCATAAGTCTATATCTTGTAAAGAAAAGTACTCATAATTTTAAATTATGTTAAACAGGTTCATCCTTGGTGTAAAAGATTATATTATTGTGTGAAGGGCCTATATTAAGAATAACTAGTTATTATTATTGTTGATTAGCGATTTTTTTTATAAAATTATGTGTATTTCAAAATTTGTAACCGCAAACATTTATTTGTAAAAGGAACATTGGTATATGTAATTTTGTCAATGTGGCACTTTTAGATATTCTGATATGTTCAAACTATGGTTTGTTTATTTGGTAGGATTGTATAACAATTGAGAAAATTTTCATAGTTTTCACAACTTGTGGAATTCATATTTATTAGAAAAATACAATTTATAAAATTTAAATTACATATCTAAATAAAATTTTAATTTTAAATCAATTTAATTTTATATCCGCATGTCTTAACGGGCCCTTAAAAACATGGATGATGGAACTCACTGCCTGCAACATGCCAACAACTAATGATACTTGAGTCATAGTTGACTTTTTAAGTTATTACTACCAATCAAACAAAGAATAATGAAGTAAATCAAAAGGTTGGAGTATTTCACTATAGGATATAGCAATATAAATGTTGTTTTAAAACATAACATTTCAGTCAAACATGGGAAATGTATGATTAATTTGCATTGACTTATATTATTAAAATTATTTTTCTAGTATTTTAGAGCAAAATTTATGATGAAGACTAGTGGGTGCCTAGGGAAGAGGGACCAAATTAAAAATAAATAAATAAAGAACTATTGAAAAAAATTGACATATGCTTTTTAAATTCTTTTTTATTCGACACTTGTATCAAATACGTAACTGTTTATTTATAAATTTAGTTTTTAAAAGTTTATCAGTTACTTTTAATCAGCTTAATCTAAACAAGTCCTACATTGACCATTTCTCTATATTTTCATAGAACACCTTATTGTAAATTCAGCCAATCACTTGGAAAGAGTCAGGTTGAACTAGAGCCATCAATATGGGCTAGACCCGTTGGGTCATCCTGGCCTAACCCTTAATTTGATAGGGCTGTGCTACGATTTTTGGAATCCATTTAAGAAAAAGGTTTTTTAGTCCAGCCTGAATAAACTTATCGATTTGTGGGGCTTGAGAAATATGAAAAGGGCCGGCCCGTGGGCTAAATAAAAATTAATTAAAAAATAAAAATAAAATTAGAGTATTAAAAATAACATGAGTCTAAACTCAAAATTTGTTTATAGTTTATAATATTACAATTTAAATACAAATTATGTTTATAAAATATGTACTACATAAAATAAAATTTCCTTAAAATTTCTAGGAAATCACTACATAGGTCGTAGCCTATGGAATATTGTCATAGTTTTTGTATTTTATTATGATCATTGGAAAACAATTAGGTTAATAATTCTATTTAGCTATTTATTCTTTTAATTGAAATCAAACTTAATAAATATTCTAAATATAATTATTTGTGGATTTGATTAACAAGTAGTAACACTAACACCATGTAATATTGTTTTGTCGATATTTATGATAATATTTTTAAATTATAATTTAATTTAAAAAAATATAAAAAATATACTTTTAAAAAAAGAGGGTTGGCCCAGCAAATCCCGTAGCCCACGTACTTATGGGTTGGGCCAACCATTTTCTGGCCCACACCAAAAATGGGCTAGCCTGGCCTGACCCGTCAAATTTCAAAGTCTGTGTGGGTTAGCCCCGGATGGGGTGGGACAGCCCATATTGACAGCTCTAGGTTGAACTATGGTTAGTTGAGTATCACTGAAATATATTCGGATTTTATTATATGACTACAAGTAAAAAAAGATGTAATTTTTTTTAATAACATAAGTAGTATGCATAATAAGACTTTCTAACTTGACTTCAACTGACAAGTAAGCACTCCAACTTTGAGAGTGCAATGTCAGAACGCTCCAAATGAATATCTAAACACCTCCAAAATTTATGTCACGTCAGGGTCGGGTGTCATGAGACAATGGGGACGAGTTGGAGTGTTCAGTTGCCAATTGAGACCAGTAATTGAAATGTCTCTCGAAGTTGGAGTGCTTACTTGCTAGCTGAGGTCAAATGTGAGTGTATGTTTATACATTATGCCTAATTAGTATGTCTGTGAAGCTATTCTTTTTCATCTTATTTCACATTTCTATTATTCCTTTACTTTGTGTTAGTAGTTCACAGCAACATTCTGCAGAAGTACAAGTTTAGCGCGCCCTCCATACTCCTCTGGTAAGACGTCTTCACCAACCTCTCTGATGAACTCTTGCTTTTGTTCTTCACTTGTAACAATCCTAACCTGTGTAGTGATTTGATATTAGAAATGAAGACTACATTTAAACGTGCATTTTTGTTAAACGTAACATCATCCTATGGGCTATTATGCACATTGACGTACCTTCTCCTGAGTTGCTTTATCAAGGAAGAGACAAACAAATCTCCATACGGTGACAAAGAATTGTGGCATGTTTAAAAGGTAACAAATAGCTAAGCGTTCAGGGTAGTACGCCTGTAGAAAGAAACTGTGTGAAATGTAGCTTAGCATTAATATAACACACTGAATATAAAGAACAGAATATTATATCAGCATTCCAACAAGGCCTTCATCAATTAGTTCAGTTTATTGCTCCCTATGTTGCCCGGACTCTTCAAAAATGTCATTGGGTGTGTGTCAGCATCAGATCCTTCAAAGAGAGAACATTTTTGGAGGGTTTGCCACATCATTTTTAGGAAGTCTGAGCAACATAGATTGCTCCTAATTTGTCTAAATCAAGATTCAAGAGCTTAAATGGAGCAACAATTTTGACCAAAATATCCAAACTATTTGTTATATCAATGTCATCTCATAGCTATGTTGCTCAGACCCTCCAAAAATGCTGCTGCAACCATGTCGGATCCTGCAAAAGAGCATAGCTCTAGGAGGATTAGACACATACCTGACAATATGTTTGAAGAGTCTGAGCAATATTGTGTCATAGTTCAAGCAAACCAAAGCCTCAACTATATCTCAGATGAGAGAGTTCAATACCAGCTGCAGCTACATACATAGTCTAGTGAGTTCTTCTACTAAGCCGTTAATCTTGACTCTTTGAACTGTCTTATAGCTGACAAGAGACGTATAATGTTGTCCGTGGTACAAGAATCATGTATCTTCTCATAATACTGGTTATGTGTGTCTCTATACTAATGGTTTGCGTACTATGGACAGGCAAAAGTGTTACCTGTAAAAACTGAAAACCAGTGATCAGTCCACGAAGATCAGCATTGCTATAGGTAATATCTTGGAGATCAACAATTCCAATAAGTTTCTCATTTCCTGTTTCTCTACCATTGAACGAACTGAAACAAGCACAAAGAGGTCAAGTTAGAAACTAAACCACGATTCTCAGCACAAAAAACATATTTGGAGAGGGAAAATATGAAACCGGTGACCAACCACACACATTACGAGGCCTCTATTGTTTCACCAGATGAAAACTACAAGCTAAATTTCCTAGATCCAACGTGATAATCCAATGTTTTTAACCAAATGAAACTCTGCTCCGGTGAAGATATGACCCTTAGGCCTAACTCAACCCTGACCGTAGAATTGCTCAAGTTCATGTGAGGACACCACCAGCCCATTCCCCAACAATATAGGACTCTTATAACCAAAAGATAAATTTGACAGGTTATATTATACAATAGTGCCTATAATATACGACGTAACTAGTGTCTATTCTCTTCTATGCTTGTACCTGTTCATCCTTCCAATCCTCTTGTTTAGATATCAGTACGTCATAAGCAGTTTGTCATTATTATCATTTCTTGTGCAAGCAAGAGAAGGAAGTTCTATCATTACTTTGTTCCTCACTAAATAAGACAGATATCAGAGTGACCAAAATAACAAAATATAAAAGTAACATCCAAAAGGATCTACAATCCCAAATAAGCGTGAACACACAATCTACTGAGCGGTTTACTCGTTTTCAGTTTTCAGAAATGAGAATAGTAGGAATATAACGCCCAACAATTTTCCAAATGGTAAAAGAGTAACATGATTGAATAAAATGGTACCTTGCAATTGTTTTGTCCAGTAGATGAACCACAAATTCTGCACAAGAGCTGAATGTGTCAATACTAACTTTATCATTAAGAGTAATCATTAGCATCCTACAGAAAGGCGAAGTAAGAATTGAAAAGAGTTCGTTCAAGAAACGCCCTTACCAGTCACCACCAAAAAAATTCATCTACATTACCAGAGATAAGGGTGCATATGAGAGAAAAAGATACAGCGGAATGAATCATTTAACAGACTGCAACTTGGTAAAACACTATAGATTGTTTCTCTTTTTTGGTGCTTTAGCAATGTTACTTCATAACTCAAAAAAGTATTTTTCGGAATTTAAGAGTTCCGTATCCCTTTTACTGTCAAAAACATTAATTTATTGCATGCAAGAGTAAGCCATTGATGCAACCAACCAGAACTTTAATCATCTAACTACTCAAAAAGTCAGCCATTGAGGCAACCAAACAGAATATTTCTTGTCAAAAGAAAACACAAACAAGATAAACAGTCATTGACTAGATATGTAAAATATACCAAAATTCCCTTTAATCTTGTCGTCTTAAACATGTCACGTGGAAAGTTAGGATTAAGGAGTTGCCAAAAAAGAAAAGAGTCATTCTTTTTTAAAGGGAATAAAACGAAAAGTAACACAAACAAATTGAAACGGACGGAGTATTTGTTTATGAACTTATGATATCGAATCTCAGGATATGATCTACCGACTTCACGTTATTGTATATTTTCAATGTCTTTCTGCTTTTTCCTATCAAATCGTCACACTAGCTGTATGTATGGCCACTCATAAAAAAATTCTATCACAACTCTTCAATCATTCAACTACACAAACAGAAAGAACATTGTTAAGGCACCAAAAAGATCAACAATCTATAGTGTTTTATAGCTAGCTACTCAAAAGAGGCATCAATGAGGCAACCAACCAGAATACTTCTTATCAATAAAACACAAACAAGACTAACCAAGAACAATAACAACAAAAAATGCAATGTAGTGAATAAAAAAAGAACCTTTACTCTTAAAGGGAAAATAAAATTTACTCTTGAATTGAACTTGATCCTTGGAAGGAAAATGTTTGTTACTTTTAACCATCACAACAGGGTGGCCATTCTTGGATAATCCCTGCAAATAAATTTTTTCAGCTGCTAATTCATCTGCAACTTCAGAATCAGTGATGTACCCAATTGGAACCATTTCAGCCCTCCATTTTTTCCACTGACAAAACATCTTTGCAGTTTTCTCTGGGTTCATTGATCTTGCAATCAAGAACCTCATTAGTGTCTTCTCTCCATAACTCTGAAACAAAACAAAAACTCATTATCAGTACAAAGATTTGAACTTTACACTAAAAGAAGAAAAAGGGTGTCATATTTTTAAAAAAATTTATCAAAACTGATTATCAGTACAAAGATTTGAACTTTACACTAAAATGGGAAAAGGGGGTCAATAGCTTTTAAAAAAGAATTGATTATCAGTACAAAGATTTGAACTTTACACTAAAAGAGGATAAAGGGGTTCATTTTTTTCTTACTTCAGTGGAAGATCCAAGTTTTTCAACTGATTTCCTCATTTGTGTCAATGCAATTTCTTGATTTCTATCCATTCTTAGTTATCTGCTTTTTCTTTTTGTTTTGCCAATTCAAAAAGAAAGGTTATTGGGAGGAGATGACAAAAGGGTACAAAAGCTGATGATGAAGGAGTTGACAAAAGGGGATAGTAAAAATGTTGACCTTTTATAAACTTAAACCATCAAAACTGTTAACTACCTGTTTAAGAGACAATCTTGTTAGAAGTTTGGCTTTGTATCGGTCGGTTAGGTTTGATTCGGTTTGATTTTAAAGTTTATCCGTTTAACTTATTGTTATTGATTTGTAGTCAAGTTAAATTATTATAGATCCGTTAAAATACTAGTTTATCGATCTTATAATTGATTTGGTAGTTGGTTTAATCGTTGAGATTTCACACACACAAAAAAATCATTTGGAAACAAGGTGGTCAACCAAATGAACCATGTTCATGAATTGACCGATCGCATCTTGCTTAAAAGTAAATATTGACACTTTGTGGAATAATCGAGAGTTTGAGAACATCATATTTTAAAGTATGAAACTAAATCACAAGTCAAGACTTCATATACTAATGATATGAATATAATTTATTAATTTATTATCTAATTGTCGGTTAATTTGTTAAGACATACCTTAAATCGTGAAGAATCAATAATATGATATAAAAAAATAAATCAAAACTATAATCAATTTCTAAAATAATATCATTTTTATAATTAAAAATTAACTTTAAAAATCTCTTTTATAATCATACAAATAATTGAAAAAATACTTTAAACCATAAATTTTAATATATATTTTAAAATATTTTTATGGCAAGTCAAATAAATCATATAAATAAAACATGAGTAGCAATAAATAGTTGAAACTTGGGGGAGAAGAAGAGGTATGGATATGACAGTTAGATTTGTTTGTTTATGAATTTCCCTTCACTATTTCTTTTTTATATTATTGTTATGAAATTTATTTTCACTATTAGTTTATACAATATGATAATTTTGTGACATGAGCTCAAAAGTGATGTTAAAACAATTCAATTTATTTGAGATTATTAAGATGTACTTTAAAATTTCAAAATTTATTTTCACTATTAGTTTATATAATATGGTAATTTGTGAAATGAGCTTAAAAGTGATGATAAAACAATTCAATTTATTTGAGATTATTAAGATGTACTTTTAAATTTCAATAAGTTATTTATTTTGAGGGACAAAAATTAAATATCAATCCAAAATAAGAATAAAATTCCATAAATGAGGTTTGATGGGATTGAATGCATATTAGGACGGTTCAAAACGGAACAAAATTAATAATTTGAATAGAAAAAAAGTTCTTGATTTAGCAGTTTCAATAAAAGTTTTGATTTTTTTAATTATTGAATTAACGATTTTTAACGGTTTGAGATTTTTTTAACCAATTAATCGATAACCCAATAGTAAATTAAATAATTATATTTATACCATTTGGTATATAAAGTCCTTGTCTTAGAGTTAAGTTTCATATTTTTATTTCTGACTATCTCAAGCTCTTGGTTATTCCACAATGTGATAGTATTTGCTTTTGGGCAAGATGCAATCTATCAACTCATGTGCATGATTTTTCACCTTGTCTTTAAGTGAATATCAATGATTTCTTTTGTGTCAAATCTTAACGGTTAAATCGATAACCAAATCAAAAACGATCGATAACCAATAAGCAAATATTTTAATAATTTTATAACGATTTGACATATCTACAAAACTGATAACCAATAAATCAAATCGATAAAGTTTAAAACTAAATAGAACCAACAGACCTAGTGTACACAATTCTTATATTAATCTTTTAAGATAGAAATATTATTTCCGAAAGATGATGGATTCAAGCACATGAATGCAACACAAAATAAGAACAAAAGTGCAAATGACCCTTTGCTTACTTGACTTATTTTAATTGGCCCAATTTTAAACCAGTTTTTGTCTCTTAATAAAAACCCTACCTAATTAGTTACATTTTGCTTCTTCTTCAACTGACATTTCTTCAACCATTTTCCGCCGCCATTCACCGCCGCCCCTCACCGGAAAAATGAACTCTCCGGCACTTTCTCTCCGTCACAACCATTTCCTCAATGGAGGCTCCGCTCTGGCATCCGGCATTCGTCTACCACGCTCAATCTCTTCCCCTTTCCGTGTCCGTATGTCTCTCCAGGAAAACGGCCCATCCGTCGCCGTCGTCGGCGTTACTGGCGCCGTCGGTCAAGAGTTTCTCTCTGTTCTATCTGACCGTAACTTCCCTTACCGTTCTATTAAACTCCTTGCAAGCAAAAGATCAGCTGGAAAATCGATGAAGTTTGAGGAACGAGATTATACTGTTGAAGAACTCACTGAGGATAGTTTTGATGGTATAGATATTGCATTGTTTAGTGCTGGTGGTTCGATTAGTAAGAAATTTGGACCGTTGGCTGCTCAAAAGGGAACAATTGTGGTGGATAATAGCTCCGCTTTTCGAATGGATGAGAATGTGCCTCTTGTGATTCCAGAAGTGAATCCTGAAGCTATGGCACATGTCAAGCTTGGTTCTGGAAAGGGAGCGCTTATTGCGAATCCGAATTGCTCTACTATTATTTGCTTGATGGCTGTTACTCCTCTCCATCGTCGTGCTAAAGTGAGAGTTCGATTTTTTCGTGTTTTTCCTAGTACATTTAAGAAATTAGAAGTTAATCTATATGATACAATTTATGTGACGTAGTTTGATTAACAATAAGTCTTTTTACCCGAACTGCGTTGACCTGTTTTTCCTTGAGCTGAGGGTCTATCGGAATTGAGATCACACTAGGATTGTTGTTGTTGTAGTTTAAAGAACAATGAGCTTGTGGTCTAAAATGTTACTGTATATAACATTTGTGTGTCTAAAGATTTGTTTTTTATTATAAAATTTGGAGACTTTTTGGTTTAAACAACACTTAATATTTGAGAATTAGATCATTTGTGTGCGTTTAGTTTGTTTAGAGATTTGTTTGGCGTAGTGGCGGAGAGAATGCCTTTTTGGAGTACAATTTGAGAATTAGATCTTTCATGTCCTTTGGAGTACGATAAAACATGCAGTGAGGCAAAAAACAAAAGAAAAAACACTAGGTGATTTCTCCTATCTACCTGAACCTTGGTGTGTATTATTACATGGTGCTTGTATTGGTGGGAGGTAGTAGATACTTGGTAGAATAGTCAAGATGTGCACTGGTCCATCATAAAAGAAAATGTGAACAATGTACAACTTGTGGTAATTGTTACTCCAAATTAGCTGGGGTCGGTATGTGAAGTTCTCTATATTCATCCTGCACTATCTACAACTGTATTTAGAGGATTCATCATAATTATATTTTTTCTGGGATTTGCGGCTATATTTTGCAAAGTGGAATAAAAGTAATTTTCTTTCCTTGCTTATAAAAAAGAAATCAAATTATAGCACCGGTGTGCATATAGATGATCACAAGGTTTAGACTTTGGCTATTTTTATATGAAAATAGAAGATTGAATTTCTTCTATCTATGGAGTGGATATTGGAAGTGGATGATTGTTAGGAACTTAGGATTGCAATAATTTTACTTGTTTTTACCTGTATCTTGATTCTGTTATACTTTTGTATTGATTTTCCTGTTCGAAAACTTGACCGCACCTTTGCAAAGCCCAAAAGGATCTCTCTTTTGTTAAAAGTTTACAGTGCAATCTTGATATGGAGGCCATTAATTTTCTCCCAACTTGTCAACTCATGTTTCGTTTGTTGAAAAGAGTCAAGTATGGAAATCAGAAAAGAAAGAGTTTAACATGTGACAAACAGTGCAAATGAGTGATTTGGATAAGAAAGAAATAACAAAATAAAGCATTAGAATTCTTACATGGAAAAAGCAGTTTATTGTGTAGATAATCAAAACAATGATGAAGTAGATTAGTCATTGAGATGCCAGAAATGCAGACTAAATACAGTTATATTCTGCTCACCCATGAAAGAATTCTCTAGCGAGAAATAGTTTTCAAAATAACTAAGAGGGCACTGTTAGATAGAAATGGATGAGAATATTTAGAAGGAATTTACCACACAATAATACACTTTCTCTTTTTTTTCTTTTCTGCTGTAACATGAGACTTGAGTGAGAAAATCTTTTGGTAAGTGTATGCTTATTCAACATTGAAAACTTTTCCATTTTCATTGGCATGTATTTCACTTACACATCCGTCTCTGTGGTAGTTGTGCAGACCTTCAGAGTTTAGATCAACCAATTATTAGTTTAAGAACCAAGTCAGTTCACTTTTACTCATCCTGTGTAGATATGCACATTTCCAGGTCAAACGCATGGTTGTTAGTACATATCAGGCAGCTAGTGGTGCCGGTGCTGCTGCAATGGAAGAGCTGGTGCAGCAGACTCGTGAGGTTTTTACTATGTTTCCTCTATTTTCCATGGTTTAATATATCTAGTGATATTAAGTCTACTAATTAATTCTCCCAATGATTTGAATTTTTGTATGTTGCCTACTAGGTCCTGGAGGGAAAAGAACCAACCTGCAATATCTTTAACCAACAGGTCCCGTCTTGTGATTTACCTTCTCAATGCTCAGTTTGTTTCTTCGATAACAGATGAATGCAGTGCCATCTGATTGTTTCTTTTACAAAATTATGCAGTATGCTTTTAATCTTTTCTCACATAATGCACCTATTCAACCCAATGGATATAATGAAGAGGAAATGAAGCTGGTCAAAGAAACAAGAAAAATATGGGTAAGTATACTTGTTAAAACCTTGGTACTCAATACTCATGCCTGATCCTAGAGACAACAATAAAATAATTGCGCATCTATTGTACTAACTACTAACCCACCCATTCTGCTTGTTATCAGAGTGACAAGGATGTCAAGGTTACTGCAACATGTATACGTGTTCCTGTTATGCGTGCACATGCTGAGAGCGTGAATCTTCAATTTGAGAATCCCCTTGATGAGGTAGCCTTTGCTAAACTTACAGCAAATCCTTTGTTAAGTTATCTTCCTGTCCTGACAAATGATTCCTTTGTTTTTTATACAAAGTGATTCCTTTCTAACTTCGGTTTTTTTTAAGACATTGAACTTATGTTTATTTTGTTCTGAAATGCGTAAAAGTTGTAATAACGTAGATCCAATTAGCCAAAAGGTCCAGGTTCATGTAGCTCAGGCTGCAGTGCAAAGAAAAAGATGTACTATCAATTAGTAATGACATAAAGATTAAGATTGTTGCTTTAATAATCATATCCCACAGTCACATATCCAACAGTCCCATTCAGCACATCATATTTTTGTTTGTGCATTCAAGTGGTGTTGGACCACAGTGATATTTGAAGTCCTTGCATAGTAAGTTGCCACAAATAGCAAAGTTTGTCAAATGGGGGATATTGTGAAATGTATTGGAATTTGGCTTATTTGCTAGAAGCATCCATTTGATGAGTTCAATCCTCACAATTGAGTGATGTCATGGGACAGCTAAAGCTACTTTATGAAACCATAAATTTTATCTTTACTATAATCTTGTGTTAACATAACGTAACCATGAGAAATCCTGCAGTCAGAAATTCTGCCAATTTTCTGCTTTGTAGAGTCACTCATGGTAAAGAAAGATGAAAATAAGAGACATCATGACTCCTTTTTTACTAGTATAGGTGGATCTTGGAGATGTTTGTGCGCTACAGTATTACAAAGTTTAACACCGACATTGACAAGTTTCCACGATCCATTTAACCCATTTAGCTTCTAGCAAAAGCTTTTTAAGGTTTCAATTAAGTATGTTCTTTGTGGCTTCTCAAAAAAACAAAAAAAATCACATATCAAGAGATGTTATAAGCATTCTTACTTTCCCATAACCTCCAGTGTAAATTGCTTTAAGCTTTTTTTCTAACTGTGCAGAATACTGCAAGGGATATTCTTAAAAATGCACCAGGTATAGTTGTAGTCGATGACCGTGCAAGTAATAGATTCCCTACCCCACTTGAAGTTTCCAATAAAGACGATGTTGCAGTTGGAAGAGTACGACGTGATGTTTCCCAAGATGGAGATTATGGGTAAGAATTTGGTTTATATGCAAATGTTATCTCTAAATGATTTACTTCCTTTCCAGTACCCCAGAGCTGATGACTTCTTTTTATATAGGCTGGACATCTTTGTTTGTGGTGATCAAATACGCAAGGGAGCCGCCCTTAATGCTGTCCAGATTGCAGAAATGCTGTTGTAGATTTGCGATATAGCACCCCTAAAGGTTCTAATTTTGGCTCAAATATGAGAGACAGAGAACCTTAAAGGTAGTCGCGTATTCCTCCAGCATTACATTTTGCTTGGTGAGATTTGGGAATCCTCATTTACATTAGTCGAGTTCGTTCTAGTTTGAAGAGAGATTTTGCTTCAAACTCTTGTTTCTGTGAAACTTTTGTTATTATTTATAATAATCTTCTTGTTGAGCTGGTAAGTCTTTCATATTTTAATTTCCAGTATTCTCCCATTTCACAATGGGCCCTAATCAATAATCAACAAGTCCTTGCTAAAGAGATCCTTTGTCTGGCGAGGATAGTGTGTACACTGTCTTACCCCTACCTTCATATACTCATTTGTGGGAGTACACGGGATATGTTAATTTGTTTGTTAAAACCAAGAAATTGTAACAAATAATAAACTAAAAGATATCAAATCCTAAAATGGTTTTATCAAAAGAACAAAAACATGTAAAATCCCCCAGTTAGTCACTATCACTTCATTCTATAATTTTTATTTGTTATGTTTTAAAAATAGGATATGATATTTTAAAAACTTATATGAAATGATTTGACTTGCACATCCAATTGCATATGATGAGAAATTAGCATCATTATATGTACAAATACTTAAAAGTATAATAGCAATGGGGGAAACTATTGGATTAACTTATGATATTAAGATAACTAAAGTTGGATAAACAAAATGAGTAGATCATTTTGGAGAACTTGTGTACATTCTCCTTGGCATTGTAAAGTAAATTTGCTCCATTAAAGATATAATAAAGGTAGCTTAGATAGATCGTAAAATGTGTCTTCTTGCTACAAGTGATAAATGTTACAACGACGAAACAGAACTGCAGCCACACCCCAAAAAAATACTAGCAAAATTTCGTTCATTTCCTCGAAAATATTATTGGAAAGAACAATCATACGAAGGAGAAACCGAAGGAAAATTAATTGGACAACGTGGACAAGGGAGTAGTAGTAGTAGTAGTAGCATAGCCATTTCCAGATCGACTTTCCCAGACTAGTTCAGAAAGATCACTCTCGAAGAAGGAATGGTGGAGAGCCCTTACACATTGTTCCGCTTCACTGTCGTTTACTATCAATGAGATATTAACCTGTGCATCGGACACAAAAGTTAAGAGTGTTGTATGTTATAGCACTAACAAACATTCTCCAGTAGGCATGATTGACGTATAGTAGCTGTGAATACAAGAGAGGGTAGATTACCTTTGATGCACCTTGAGAGATCATCTGAACGTTGACACCATTGGTACGCATAACGTGGAAAGCCTATGGTTCAATGCAATTACAGTAAGAAGATGATAATGATGTCAACACAAAAGAAACTTGCATGCTAGTGTCATGTAACAGCCTTCTGAACACTGAACATGTAGAAGAATATGCAATTGATAGAATGAGACACTGAGCACGTGGGCTGTGAGGTGGCTAGGAATTCCGGTTACTAAATCACAGAGACACAACTCAGGAATTGGAACGAGCTACAGTATAACTACGTTGAGTGAGCCTTGAGACAGCATATTAGGTCATGCAGTACATTGAGCTAAAGTTCTAGAAAAATAAACAAATGGAAATTTTGTTGGTCACTAAATGAATGTCTACGAGGATTATAAAAGGTCAGTAATAAGCACCTTTTCTAAAATCAACGAGGACCTCTGGACGTTCCCAATCAGAGAGATGATTGATCTGTTTTGAAGTAGCTTCACAACTGCAATTTTCTCAAGTTCTTCTACAACGTTATCAAGCTCCTGTATGATTTGGTAATTGAAAATGTTACAATGCACCACTGAAAGGCATCTTAAAATGAACAAATAAAATTATGTATGGAACATATGAGCATTTATGAGTTGAGCCGATTCGAAAACTGGTAGTGAACACTTGAAGATAGATTGAATGGGAAAGTTGAAATTTATTGAAGTCGTGTAGAAATTAAGAAGATAATCATACGCTTGCCTGTTGAATTAGTTCTCTGCTCCAAAGTTTTGATGGGTCCAATGTCAAGGAAATACTAACTTCACTTGTCGCAACGACATCAACAGATATCCCTAAGTCTTCAAAGATGGAGAAAACCTGAACAGGAACTACATTAAATTCTTGACTTCAGGGCAAAGTAATACTCCCTCCATTTCAATTTGTTTGCATGATTTTGACTTGGCATGGAGTTGAGTAAAAAACATTTGAATCTTATGATCTTAAACTAAAGAAATGTAGACAGTAGAATGTACATATTGGAAGTAAGACAAACAAATTGAAACGGAGGGAGTAAAAGGTTATTTGGCAACTACTACCTTTGCAAGGAAGCCAAATTGACCAAGCATACGGGTACTCGCGATATCCAACATGGTTACATTTCGTTTAAGAACAATACTTGTAAGTACCGCCTGCAAAGCATGGAGGAAACAAAATCAAGTTAGTTTTTCATTATTTCTGCAGCTAAATGATATAGTGAAAAATGAAGAAGCTCTCACCTTACTCATATCTCTTGTTTTAACGATGAGAGTGCCAGGAGCTTTAGGATTATACGAGTTTTTAACCCTAACAGGAATATCACCCTCTCTAGCAGGCCTCATGGACTGTGGATGAAGGACCTGTAGAAACATTTTCAGAAGCCAAAAGTATAAGGGTAGCAGCATAACTATCCTAAATACACACTTAAACTGCCAATTTCATATCTTCAGATCTCCATTTTAGGTTGTCCAAAATGGATTGACTTGCCATAAATTCACCTCCAAAAAAGAGAATCTTCAGAAAAATTTCTTGACTAACTCGTCCAAAGGAGTAAATAGTACTATTCTGTTGGTAGAGGCAATTAGGAAACTAAAATCACTAAGACGCTACAAGTGGCATATCCAGGATCAACTAATTTCTGAAATAGCTAACAATACCTGTGCGCCAAAGTATGCAAGTTCAGCTGCCTCATCAAAAGTTAGATATGGCACAGTCTCAGCACGTGGATATATGTTGGGATCACATGTCAAAACACCGTCAACATCCTTCCAGACCTGTGAGTAATATGACAAAGTGATTCAGATTCTAGGCAGCAGCAATATCACACTTGCTTGATAGCACCTCTTGTGCTTATACAAGGATGAGTGCAATTAAAGACGTATTCTAGCACATTGACAGCATCCCGGTGAACTCAGCTCTCGCTATGCACGGGGTCCGGGTAAGGGCCAAACTGCAAGGGTCTATTGTATGCAACATTACCTTGCATTTCTGCAAGAGGCTTGGTCACATGGCAACAACTTTACCAGTTATGTCAAGGCTCCCCTTATTCTATCACATTGACAGCAATTGATAAAAACAGTGTATTCAAGATTCAGTGACCAAGTAGTAAACCTGAATTTCACGTAATCCCAATGCTTTACCGATTGTTGTAGCAGTCAAGTCACTACCACCCCTACCTAGTGTAGTCACAGCACAAGTCCTCCAACCCTTCAATCGGATACACACAACATTGTCATTCAGGAACTGCAAACTCTAGGGAAAAGCAACCCACAAAAAATGCATGAAGAAGTTTAAAAAGAAGCACCTTCCCAAGAAACCCAGTGACAATAGGGATTGCAGGATTACTCATCCAATCACCAGTTAATCTCTTTGCAACAGCAGGATAAGTTGCTTCCAATATATCCGCATTAGTGAAATCATCAGTAGTTATAATACCCATCTCAAATGCATCATACTGCAGAGGAAACCCAAAAGAAGATACTTGGTATTTTAATACAAGAGATGCCAACAAGAAAACAAGATCTAAACAAGGAACAACGTAGTCAGCAGTCCTGTAAAGGCAGGATCAGCATGATACTGTTTTCAGAACCTTGACCAGTTATCACTTGCAGGTGCATGTGATAAATGGTCAACGTTCTGAAAAGACCAAATAAGATGCATTGAGTTAAATGTATGTAGTTACCAAATTAAGAGAGCAAACTAATAATTACTACATAAGGCTGGAATTGCCTGGAGAATTTCTCCAGCTCTCTGATGTTTCAAGTAACCACTTTAAGCTTTCGTTGCTTTGTTTTCAAATTAATAACTTTGGCAACATAATCCGTGGATATCAAGAGCCAGAGACCGCAATATTTTAATGAACTCCAGGAAAATAGTTATACTCAGTTTATTACATATTAGAAGTTTGGGAACTCTGAAAATGGCATAATTGAAAAATATACATACTTGGCGGGATTTGACACCAAGTTTATTCAGATATGCGGTAAATATTCTTGTGGACATACACTCTCCAAAGGACACCAAGTAGTCCCTTGCTCGTGGAGTCAACTCTTTCATCAAAGCAATTCCATTCAAAAGTTGTTCCAGTTCGAGTAGATGCTCTGCAATTTTTTTCCAATAAGATATGGCAATCAAATAGACATGTTTGAAAACTACTTCTAAGAATAATCAGGTATCATACCAGTAACAGATAGAAGATCCCATGGATGCAAACAATAAAGTACTCGTAAAACATTAAAAGGTCATTAAATATGTTGCTGAAAGCATTTATTCATCATAGTAGTTGAATTTATTTCTCTAGAAAGGTTACATCATTACAATTCTGAACCGAGGGGCATACAACAGTTGGATTTTAATTTATTCTGTAAATGTTTAGAAACACTATGTAGACCTTAAACAATTTCAATGATACACGACACTCATACATTTAGATACACTTTTACTAAATAGAGCATTGGAGCATTAGGAGGGAAATTTTAGAGTTCTTTGGATAATAGAGATCATGGAGGCTTAAACAATAAAGTTCAGAAGAATTTAGCATTCTAACATTTACAAACTACTACACCTCAATCCCAAGTAAGTTGGGATCAGCATATGAATTCTCAAAGTCCATGTCGCTCCTAACATTTACAAGGGCAACAAAATGCGAGAACCTTGGAAAATCAAGTGTTACCCAACACTTCTTTTTTTCCAAAGGGGAACAAAACAAACATGACACTGGAGCTCCAGCTAATTACTCACTTGAAATGGTAGAACTCTCTACTCCAAGTTCGTCTATTGTCCTGTGTGAGGGACATAAAAATGAGGAATTAGAATAGATCAAATAGATGAATAATGATCTTGGAAACAAAATAACGTTCGCAATAGAGGCTCTCATCTTCACCTAAGATGGAGCTCCTTTATAAAAGCCAGCTCTTGCAGATCAGAAACATTGGAAACACCACAACTCTGAGCCTTTTCACCAGCCTGAAATACAT